CGTCACGATGGGCTAACTGATCTACTTCATCCTCACCTATCATCCTTCACTGGTGCCCCGCCGGTGTATACCGATAGCGCGGGTGGAGATATCATTCCATTATCATTCAATAAAAAAAAACACCTATTTCAATAAAATATTAAAAACTACATGTAAGTGAATCTTACTTTTTCTAATTCTAAGATACTTTTACACTAAAAATTATTGTGTGCTTCTGAAATTTTTAACAATTAAATTTTACATACTCGTCGATTATGTTTTAAATAATTTTGTGTAGCAAATTAGCACATTAGTCTAAAAGGTTTATATAAAATAATATTTGGAAATTTCATGTAGGTATATAATAACTATTTATAATAATTTAAATAATAGGTACTTAAATTATTATAAATAATACCATAATAATAAAATAGTTATCTGCATTGAGTTGGACTCTATTTGTAATAAATAAATGATGTCATAATAAGATTAAGGTATTATTTTGTAACCACAAATGTGACGCATAAATGGGTAAAACCCAACAAAGCCATATAAGTTATTAATTATAAATAAAATTACATAATCTGTGGTCTTAAGCTATAAGGAAAATATTTTGACGACTGATGCTACTTTCCCCTATTATTTAAAGTAAAAAAAAAAGAAACTGAATTATGACAAAACTAATTTGTAATATATAATCAATACATCATTGATTTAGAAACAAGGAATTATTAGTGATAGGGATAATGAATCCCTGAATGAATGAATATTTAGGTCACTCTCTCCCTCGAGATTTCCAGGAGGAAAATATGTTAGCTCCTAGAGAATTCTTAGCAATGGGCAAATTTTCCTGGATTCTATCATTTCTCACAAGTACTCCACCAGCATATATCAATCGTATAGGTGAGGTTGTAATTAAATTTTTTACTCTTTTTAAATAATAAGCCATACTAATAAAGAAGTATAAAGCATAAAACTTAGTATAAGTATAAAAATAAGAATATGTTTTTCCCTCTCTTTCTCTTCGATTTGATCCTTTAATCTCTCTTATTGTATTAAGTATGTGTATATTTATATGTATATAGATATAGTATATGTATGTGTATGTGTAATGCGCCATCTATCCTTTATCTTTGATCAAATTTGAAGACGAAAACATGTCAAAAGTTAATAAATAAACACACTTGCTTTTATATTTATAATATTAGTGTAAATTACAAAATAATAATAATAATCATCATCATCATATCAGCCTTTAACTGACTACTGCTAAACATAAGCCTCCCCTTTGGGGGCTTTTGCCAGTAGTTATCACGCTTGGCATGCGGATTGACAACCGAAGTTAGACTTTGGAGATGTTTTAAGAAGGACGTTGTTGCCCATCCCTCGCCCTCTCTTAATCGCCTTTTACAATACCCACGGGAATAAAAGGTGTGGCCTAATCTATGCCGGGACCACACGGGTACAAATTACATTAAATTAAAAAAATTTACTCATTTAATTAAGTTAATGATACTCAATAATTTTACTAAAGTAATTTACGTAATTTTACTTTCATACCAAACTACAATGTATCAGAAATGTGCAAATATTAAAACGGCACGTAACTACGAGTAATATTGTACCACGAAAGCATGTGACTTTGAATTTTGCGAAACATATTTGATTATGCATTAAATTAACCAGCCAACCAGACCTCTGTCTGGCAGCATATTTTTAATAACACTGTAGCATTCTTTTTTTTAAATTGAATTTAAATCCATAAATCAAAGTGAGATATAGTAACCACAATTCGAAACCTTAAAAATTATGACGTAGTTACAATTTATTCTAAATCGCTTGTACACTTCCATATAAATTGTTAATAAATACCTGACTAGTTACGCAGTTTAAGCCATTTTTAAAGATTAGCTTTTGTAGAAGAGCGCAAGTGTGTTTTCTAATAATGCCAATAATAATAATAAATAATAATATTTATTGAAGTAAACTTAATAATAAGCATTTTTGAATAGTATTTTTTTTATGAATCTACCGTCCAGTCCAGCAATTTCAGCTCAAGACGAACGGGTATGATAAAAAGCAATATTTTTCAAACTTAACTCTTAAGTTTAAAACGAGAAATATATGAATGGATAAAATGACTTTCACAAACTTCGTATTGATAAAAAGAAATAAAATAAAAATTACAAAGCTATAATCAATCACAGTATTCTTGGACGACCAGTCCCTACTAGAAGAATCCATTCACAAGTATAACGGATGAGCCAGCCATCGTTGTGTTATAGTTATAAGGAGCCCAACTATCCGGCCCTCTACGCCGCCACCAATTTGGATACAAAGTTCCATCACGTACCGACAAACATAACTATTAACATACTATTTGATTTTTACTTTGACACTATTAATCTAATAATAAAATTGTAACTAAATAATGTTCGTCTATCTAGGAGGTGTTGCAAAAAAATTATATTAGTTAATTTTATACTTACGATTTGTTACGAGTAACACACGATAATACAATGTTTTGTCGTGACCACGATATGGGGCAATTCACGACGAAACGTCGACAATAAAAAAAACAGGTATGTAGATACTATTTACCTGCAATTTTGTATCGCCCGATAGTGTTTTTAAAGTATGAGATACATTTTTAGAATGTTTGTCTGTCCGTCTATATGTATCTTTGTTTCAACATTACAGTTGTGTTTTAAAAGGTCTAACATAAATTCTAGTATATGTTTTATCTTCATAAGCCATCTAGAACGGAATACTTATATACAAAACCCATGTCTACGACGTGGCAGGCAAAATGTAGGGAAATAATATTCCGGTAGTACTAATTAATACAGTGAAGTAGAAAAGTGCCTACATCGAAGTTTAACAATATGAAAATAAATGTATAATTCTACTAATATTATAAATAAATAGATGCAAATTTATTTTCGGACTAAATATTAAATATTAGTATGGACCGGTTTCGCTTTATGGCTCCCTCAAAGTTCTATAACATTATTATATTATTATATTAGCCGTTAGCTGTTTATTGTTGAATATATACCTCTCCCATAAGGGAGGGTGAGGGTATTTGCCAGTAGCTGCCACACTTGGCGGTTACTACCGCAGTTAAGCTTTGGTAATGTTTTAAGAGGACCGCTGCTGTTCATACCTCGACCATTTAGTTCCATTTGTCACCTCTTACTACACCCATATACAGATTTATACATAACATTATTTGTGTGTAAATACGATACTGTTATAGCTATTATACTTTATTAGGTATTTTGTATAGTTTTGAAATAAATATAATAAGCTATGTCATCTATAAAAATATAAAGTACTAACAACTACACTACAGAGGAATAACATCCGAGTCCTCAGAAATGGCAACGCATGGGGGGTATCATGGGCGAAACAGTATACTCTGTTATGTCCATGGTACTGCTCATGTCTATAGGCGACAGTTACCACTTTCTATACTTTTATCAGGTGGGCCATCAGCTTGTTTGCCATTCTAAGTTGTATAAAAAAAAAACTCTTCCCGGTATCGTACGAATAGATAGAAATTTCTTAAATAATATATGTAGTATGAAAATTGATTTAAGTGGACTATAGAAACTTATAATAGGGCTTTATTACTGCTGTAAAATACCGGCACAAGTGAACAAGTACAGACAAGATGTAGAAAGGTAAGAACTTACGGAATATTCTTGTTAGTAAGAATAGTCTGCTTGGAGCTACCTACAAGTGGTTGGTGGTTGTCGATCGTCCTAAGTTCACTTTTAGCCACAAACATGGATGAATGCTTCAGTGAAGCACCTTAATTATGATTATTTTATTCTGAACGCGCGAAACGGCCGCCATTGGTGATTTTTGTTTTTATTATATATAATATTATATATATAATATTAGTTTCACTAAAAATGAAAATTATGTAATGGTGCATATTTTTTCTAGTATAATTATAAATTCGAATTTCCATTCAAATTCCACAATTAACACCATAAATACTGGCCTATTATAATGCAAAATTTTCCATCGGTGCATAACAGCACTCGATGTGGGTCCTAATATTAATTATTATACATATACATATATATGTATATTATATCAATGTCAACCAGTTAATTTAACAAACTGATTGATACTTTCCTGTTTGCAATCACTGTATATTTTTTGTCTGTTGAACCAATTCTTAGGTCAATTACCTTAACAAATCGAGCTTCAAGTAATAATACTTATAAAATACTTCATTACTTTTTGTTACATGGTTAAATGTTATGATCAAATTTAAGTTTTTGTGGCTTTATAAGCCATATAAGCCATAACCATGATTTTTTTATATATCTTAATACATGAATATAATTTCAGAATACAATAACAAATAGCTTTATTCTGTTTCCGAAACTTGTTTAGTTAAATAAATTAAAATAATAAAATACTGTTAAAATAGGTTCATTATTATTCCTTTATTAATTTTGTGATTAAAATTTAAAATTAATGAAATTTCCAATCAGAAAATTAATTATTTCACAAAGTTATCTTGTTTATTTTAAGAGGAGTACTGGCATATACAGCATATTTCTTTTTATACTCAAGCTAAAAACATATACCAGAGGGAGACTTTGTACAAAGGTTGATTGCTTGGGCACCTCTGTCCCATTCGTGTTTCAACCGTGAAGCAGTTGTCTTTGCATGGCTGTCTTTCGATTTGAAAGGTGGGATATGGCAGTGAATTTACAGGGTACAGAGGAATAACACCTGAATCCTCAAGAATGCGCATGGGGGGGGGGGTATCATGGGTGAAACAATATACTCTGCGACGGTTACCACTTTCCATCAGGTGGGTCGTCAGCTTGTTTGCCATTCTAAGTTGTATAAAAAATACATTTGAGGTACCACAACTTAACTGGGACGAAATAACAAACAACCCAAAAATAGGTTCTACTAGTTATTGGTACTTAATTAAAACATATGATTATAGAGGAAAATATGATTATATATATATATATATAAAAACAAAGTCAATTATAAACAAAATATAATAATATATCACAGGATTCATTACAATTACAAATTAATTTCAGGTATTGATCGTACATCAAGTTATTAAGGAAAACATTACTTAAAAAATATCAAATAAATAACAAAAATAATAACAAAGTTGTCGTAAACAAAAAATACAGTTAAGACTGGAAATCATTATTTACCGAAAGAGTACATAATGTATTTTTCAAGTATCTAAAATATGTTTAAAGTGTAAATTGAATGATCTAGCCAGATTGCTAAATAGAAAAAAATAACAAATTGCTTTTATATCATTCAAAAATCGAAATTTGAATCTATCTATCGAAATCTATTGTTATTTTGTACGATCCAGCATGCCACGTCTGGACTTATCGAGACGTTTGGCATTTTAAATTTCGAACTCAGCATTTATTTTTATTTTCCTTTATTTGTCAATGAATGAATTTGGATTTTGCTGCCACGTTTGCGGTCGTTTCCTCATAGCTTCGTATTGTTGCCAATTCAAATACCAAAACGGTCTGTTATCAATCGGCACACTTTCGAGTCTGTTTATCAGATTTCTGTCCCCTTTGGCTTCAACTGGTAAGGGTTCATCTTCTCCAAATCTATTTGAAAGCTGTACGACATTATTATCTAACTGTGGATATCCAATAGCTCCGGATCCCGCGTAAAAAGGTCGTTGGGCATTTATCATAGCGATTATGACCGTCAGGGTCAAAGCAATTCTATACACTGCCATTTTATCTGTAAACAATGAAAATAGCATTATTGTTAAGTAAAAATAGAGATTACTGTAATAATGTTTCAGATTAATGAAACTAATAACTAAGATTAAATATATAAGTAAATGCAAATATATCGCATTCAGTAACAATAATTAACTATTTAAAATATTAATTTATAAATTAGTTTTTTATAAAATTGTATTGCATATACATAGGTGTAACATTTTTAAATATTGTAAGAAATTTGTATATATATATATATATATATATATATATATATATATATATATATATATATATATATATATTTAATAAATGTATTAAATCAATCTAAACTGTTTTTAATAAAGGTGCCTTAGTTTTATTAATAAACTAAATAAGTACAATAGTAAAAAATTAAACGTTATTACAAAGCTATATTATTTTTTAAAATTTACATGCACATTTATAATTTACAGTAGGTACATACTAAATATAGAATTAACAGTTTTTACTCTATTATTTTATCGAAATTATATTTGCATAATAAGCATATATTATTGTAACTGATATGTATAAGGAATTCCGATATTTCTGTTACACAGTATATAATATGGAGTTTAAAAAAAGAAAAAAAGTTATTTACGTTGTTCGCGATTACAGAGGAACATAAACAATAAATTATTCTAGAATAAATTAACGTTCTTTTTTTAAATAATATGAACCTACCTTATTGTAGTGGAACACGGCAAGTTATTGATAAATAAGTCTGCACTCCCACGTAATGTACCGTAAGTCGCGCTGCACTCGCTCGAACTGCGTGTTTATGATGGCAGACACGTCTATAAATATCAACTAACCGCTGCGTTATCGCGGCCAGAGAGTTAACAGTTATAAGAACGGGAATGACAATTATTTTTCTTAAAGTGGATTAAGACCTAGATGTATATTTTAAGAACATGTTTTAAGAAATACATTATGTATTAATACAGATATACCAGCCAAATATTACATGTATATCAAATGTATTTGGTTTATCACTAAACACACTTTCACATTTATAATATTAGTAAGTATAATCAGGAATACATATAAGTAAAGTATATTGTATGTTTGAAAAACATCTAATATAAGAATCATCTATACTAATAGTGTTTAACATAAAGGTACAGTAATTCTGAGAAGCACTAAAAAATTTGTCGTTTTTCGATGCATGTTTCACTGTGAATCATTGATAAAATACTCCATAAAAAGTAAAATAAATTATTATTTATTATTAAAAATATTTTCTTTTATTTTTTTAAATTTAAAACTTATTCTCAGTTTTAGGTATACTATTTATATTTAGTACTTGTTAAAAAAAACTGAACTCTGTTGAACTGGAAATTCTGGAAAAATAAAAAGTAAATAAATGATAGATTTATTAAAATTGTCCTTTTAAATTATTATTTGAAACAAAATTTTTAATAAGTTAAACCTTTCAACAAAAACTTAAAAACATATTTTTCTTCCATTTTTTCATTGGCATTTACTCTAAAAGTCAAGTAAGAAATAACTTTTATTCTAGTAGGTATCCTAAAAAAATAAACGAATTCGCTTCTATACATTCTAAGGTATACGTAAAAACCCATTCAAGCCACGTTACACAGAAATACTCGTTTAACGACTTGCAAATGGCGTCGTACTAACCAACTAAAGTTGATCTCTGTGGTTGTTAATCATTTCCTTTTTAGTAAAGATTTTTATTTGGACCGAGCGGGAAGGTGGAGCTCTCCGTCTGTGGTTGTGTCTAATTATTGCATTCTCAGTTCCGTAGCGTCATTTGACTCATCGTTACGTATTAGGTTTTCGTATTTATACACACGGAGGCGTGTCATTTTATTGGGTTTTTCACTGATTATCAATGAAATAATGTAAAAAAGCTGATAAGCAATGAATCATAGCTCATCGGATGTTAATATTTAGTACAGATTAGTATGAATTTTATTTTAAAAACCTTCAGTTCGTACTTTTTTTATAATTGTGGGTTACTTTTATTCAGCGAGGTATGAAGAGGGCTATGCTCCGAGTTTTTTTTTTTTGCGTGACAGAATCCAAAATGAGGGGCGGAAGGGATTGATAGCAATGGGGAGGTAAGTCCCCATTGATATCAATATAACCTATCAGGTCGACCTCCACGCGGTTCCCTCTGGAAACCATCGTGACTACTTTAACGTTGAATTCGTGACGATGGGCTAATTGACCTGCCTTTTCATCCTCAGCAATCATCCTTCACTGGTGCCCCGCCAGTGTATACCGTTAGCGCAGGCGAGGTTACTATTCCATTATCATCCATTAAAAAAAAATCCGAAATGAGGATATTCGCAGAAGAACTAAAGCGACCGACATAGCCCGAAGGATAAGCAAGCTAAAGCGGCGTTGGGCTTGTCATATACCGAAAAGAACCGACAACCGATAGGGAAGAAAGGTTCTTAAGTAACAACCACATACGGGCAAGGCCGACCCCCGACTAGATGAAGTAACGACCACAAATTAATGGTAGTGGTCGCAAAGTGTTAGTGAATGCAAGAGACTCAGGATAGTTTCATACCACAGTCTATGGGGAAGGTCCACGTTCAGCAGTGGACAGAGTTATTTGTGAGTAGTTAGTGAGTTAATAAACATATTTTGGGACCGTGTGGTTTATTGATCACTATTATATTTTTGCGTATTTTATTTTACTTTTACCCTCTGGCGACTTTGTACAAAAGTCGATTGCTTGGGAACCTCTGTCCCATTCGTGTTTCTACTGTGAAGCAGTTGTGTTTGCATGGCTGTGTTTCGGTTTGAAGGGTGGGATATGACGTAAATTTACTGGGTACAGAGGAATAACACTTGAGTCCTCAGGAATGGCAACGCATGGGTGGTATCATGGACGAAACAGTATACTCTGTTATGTCCATGGTACTGCTCATGTCTATAGGCGACGGTTACCACTTTCCATCAGGTGGGCCGTCAGCTTGTTTGCCATTCTAAGTTGTATAAAAAAAGTCTTAAATTATTTACTTACAAGTAATTATCTTTTCCTACGACTTTGTCCGCTTGACCGCAATATTTATGGTAATTAACTGAGATAAGAAGTATCCTCTGCCCTTCTCCATTCCAAATATTATACGTACACCAAATTCCATACCAACTATTTTTTTAGTTAAATCGAGATAAGTCGTTATAGTGCCACAAACAAACTTACATTTATATTATTAGTAGCAATATTTATTTGCTAATAATAAGAAATAAAAACTAAATTAATAATCAACAATTATACACGCGTGACTATTAGGACAATCAAATGATATTATACTCGTACGTAATAAAACTTGTACACAGTTATACATAACAAATTATTACACCTGGTAGTTTTTATCCAACGATATTATTGCATTATAAAATATTATCATGTAACAAAAAACAATGAATATCTACTTACATATTTATATTATATTGCTTATAAGCAGAATTGTACGCAATGGACTCGGTTTGTTTATATCTGTAATATTAGATATTTTTAAAAGAAATACTTATAAGTAAACTATTTGTCTGTGTGGTAATGGAATATAAGGAAAATAACATAAAAAGCGCTCCGCACTCCCTTCATGCTCAGGATATGGCAACAGTTGAATATAGGACACCTGCAATGCCGCTGGTGTTGTGGGTGACCATGGGCGGTGGTAGTCACTTACCATCAGGTGAGCCGCATGCTCGTTTGCCCCCTGTGTTGTAAAAAAAAATATGAATCACAGGAGGCAAGCACTATCAAATTGTGTATTTCGCTTCTATTCGTGAAAACCTATAAGTGATTTCATTGTTGTTATTTTGTAGTTATTTTTTTATATAAATAAGTCTTAATTTTACTTTTTACAAATAAATAAATATTATTATTTATAATAAAAAGGAATTGCACCTCCTGTGTGGTTTTATTTTACTGGTCAACGACAAAACCATAGTTCAGTTACTACAAACTAAGTATTCTGATTGGGCCTATGCATGCAATTAACCAAATACTGTGAGTTCAATATTGCTACTAGGGGGGAAAGGGATTGTTAGCAATGGAGTTTGACAGCCCTATTGCTAGCAATATATATTAGGTCGACCTCCACCTGGTTCCCCCTGGAAACTATCGTAAACAATTCCTGTTAAATTCGTCAGGATGGGCTAACTGACCTACTTTCATCTTCATCTGTCATCCCTTACTGGTGCCCATCACCCCCATCAGGGCTATCGGTATACTCGTATACCGGCGGGAAACCAGTGAAGGATGATAGGTGAGGATGAAGTAGGTCAGTTAGCCCATCGTGACGAATTCAACAAGAATTGTACACGATGGTTTCCAGGGGAAACCACGTGAAGGTCGACCTAATAAGGTATATTGCTAGCAATAGGGCTGTCAAACTCCGTTGCTGACAATCCCTTTCCTACTCCATGAAATATACTGTGCCGCCTAATATACTCGTATTTCATATTATCTGAAATATTTTACTATAAGGAAATTGTACAAAGCCATCTATTTGAGTATATGTATAGTTGTATTTCTAAATAATGAAAAATAAATAATTAAAAGGACTCTTGTGTTTCAATTAAGCTTTACAAAATATATTAGATAAACCAGGCTAAGTTAATTTCCGTTAAGGGCGCTGTTCCAATTTCGTTACATTTGTAGAACTTAACCACAAGACTCAATTATTGATTTCAATGTATTTAAGTTAAGGAGCGTATCCGGTCGTTAATTAAGTTAATGGTGAATAATAGTAATTAGTAATAAAATAATTACAAGAAAATTCAAAATCTTAATTTTCACCCTACTATAGTAGGACTACCTACTATACCAGACGAAGTAGTTGTATTTTGTTTTTGATGTAACTTTTAATGGCAAACAAACTGACAACAAGTCATATGCAATACATAATAAAATGTCAAACAATACAATTTTTAAGTTTAACACTGAGCCGTCTACTGTTTACCAGTAGTTGCCATACATGGCTGCCGGGTTAGCAACCGCAATTAAGCTTTGGTGATATTCTAAGATAGACACTGCTACCCATCACTCGACGGTAAAATCCCGTAGTCGGCTCTTACGACACCTACGGGAAAGGAAGAGATGGCCTATTCTATGCGGATATCACACAGCAGTCAACATAAATATTTAACAATAATTAAAAATGGGTGTCCCATGGAAAAACAACCGTATATAATTTTTAAAATTTAAATAAAGAACTAAATACTGATATTATTTCGACTGTCATGCCGAATAACCTAAAAATAAAAAAAAAAAACAAAATAAATTTGAAAATAGAACATTGCAATGATGAAGCATGTTTTTTTTACTGTTCAAATATATTTTTTTAACAATGCGTTTAAACGACTCGTTCTCTGTTTGTTATTTTATAATTATGTTTTAGAACGCAAATAACATATGACAGAGGAGCTGTTAAATAAACGCGGTTACAAAATTTAACAATTACGTTTACTTTCAATTTACAAAAATCATGATAATCATATCTCGGTATACCGCGCTCGTTTAAAATGGCTCCCAATGCGACAGCATCATGAGACACATATCCTGGCTGTCCTTCGTTCCCGGTTCCAATCATTACCTCGTCCTTCCAGACTTAGGCGTCTTTGCTTAAACCAGTCAGAGTACTGAAACTTAATAAAGAATATATAACATTACAAAATGAAATCTATGCAACCAACACTAACTTCACATGAACATTTATTTACCGAAATGACGTCTAGGATATAACTCCGGTATTATATATTTTTTTATACATAAACGTGGTAAAATGGAATAGAGCACTAAAGGTATTACCCACCCTTAGTGCTCTGTCCCATTTCACCAAAGTTCCATTGTCCCAAATACCTACCAATATCTGTACAAATATTGGCCCAATAACAGATATATTAGATATCGGTTATATAATATCAAAAAGAAGAACTTGCTCTTAATGAATATAGATATCCGACTGGTATGGGCGATATCGTAATGGTTTGTCATCAATATACAAAAGAACTCAATATATAGATATTGTACGAGTATATTACACATCTCTACAAAGCACACATTTTAAAGCTCTGAACCCGCTGCGTTCCCACTTATGACGTAAGCTGACATCATCACAGTATTTACTCAAGCGTTTCCCAGCCACATCAACCGTTTAATTCAAAACTAATTCTGGTACGTTACTTGGCGTGCCGACTCGCACATGATGTAAATCTTTATTGCTATCCAGATTCAGTTACCTAGTTACCATTAAAAGGTTTATAAGGAATAATCCGATTGCTATATTGAGTTTCTTAGGCACGTGTTTGTCACACAATAGATCAAGTCATTATTTAACCAAGAAAGGTATTATTCGATTCTTAGTTTAACGTCGTTTTATTCTGTGACAAAACCGCGTACACGTCACACACTAGGTCACTAGACATAGAATTAATTTATGACTTTGCTTTAGATTAATGTAAAAATAATTTCCCTCCAAATCTTACACAATATTATTTTGTTATTCATATAAAATTATCCATATATCTTTATACTTCCATTCTCAATCTAATCGAATTTTTATCCTTAATAATTTTATAAATATGAAAGAGAGTTCGTTCATTTATTTATTTATTTATTTTTGTTCGTTACCTCTTAGTACCTTAAAACCTTAACTAATCACTATGAATTGAGGACTATATGAGATAGAGAAGAATATAGGCTACTTTTATCCTATTCAATGAAGATATCTCGGTTACGCGGACAATATTACAGGTAAAAACTAATATAATAAGGACTTAAATCTTAGAGATAGATGCTCATCTCGCAT